TTTTTTTTTGGCTTTTATTGTCCCTCATGAGGGGAGTATTTAGTTTTGCATTTTCTTAGTTTTCCAGATTCCAAGCATTCATAAAATTGGCCTTAATTTCACAGATCATGGATGGAAGAAACTCATCTCTTGGACATTTTCTTTTACTGGAATGGATTCCATCTTTTCAGACCAGCCTTCTTCGTCTAAGCAACAAAATTTAGTGAGCCAGTTCCACCATTACGCAAATTTTGTCATGCATCCTTCAAGCAGCAATCCAGGTAGGGATGAGCTCAGAATGCGCAACCAAGTATTTCAATATTAGCTACGATTAATCGCCTCACAGTTTTGGGCACTTCATATAAGCTGAACCAGTTTCTAAGCTTCCATGTTGCCCGTAGCTTTTGATTTAACCCTCTCCTTCCAGATCAAAATGCTCTGCGGGAGCCTCAGATGGCAGAGAGCCCCAATAAGGTCCCTGATTCCTGTGCGAAAGAAACCGTCACAAATGCCAGTCAAGGTAATACTAATCACGCGAGCGCTTCAATAGAAAAAGGAATAAATGAGTTGCCTGTCTATCAGACGGCCTTTTCAAAATCTTGCTGTTTCTCAATTCCAATTTATTCTTGCTATTTCGCTACGTCGAAAGCCGTCAGATGTTGCCTTTTCGAGTTTCAAACTACCTTTTTTACGAACTAACCTTTCATTTTAGCTACAGCAGTGCTGCTAAAAGGAACAGATGAATTTTAGATCAGTTTTCGTCATCGGGTGACGAACCAGAGAACTCCAATGAAATCCAAGTCGTAAATGTTCCTGAAGAAATCCCGAATGCCGATGAAGGTTTGAATAATCGCTCAGACTCTTGCTTTGACTAACTCTGCTTTTTTCTGCAGTAAATACAACATCCTTTCAGCTGATGTCGCAACGAATTCTGCAGGAAACGGACTGCAAATGACACCGTAAGTTCATTTCCTTTTACTATATTTCCGAAAGTTGCTTTGGAATCGGGCTACAACCCAATTTTTGACAGCAAAATGCTTTTTAATGATCTGCCCATCTTTGACTCTCGAAGAATCTATTTTTGAAATCGGGTAAATCGAGACTACATTCCCTTATAAGTTGAAAGTCTATCTATAAGAGGT